GGTGGTTATGGGGGAAATGAGGAGAGAGAAGGGAGATCCATGACGGACAACCGGTCGCCATTAGGGTTTAGTGGTTAATAGAGGTGAGAGAAGAGAGAGTGAAGGGGAAATAAGGGCGGATGTCCGGAGGAAATGGGAATTAGGGTTTTGACCCTAAGGTTAAAGAGGCATTTGGGGTTTGGATAAAAGCAATCCGTTGATCATATATTTAGGGGAAAAAATAATAAAACAGATAATTTCAGGGGCCGTTAAATTAGTAGACATCGTGCAGCCAAGATAAATGGGTGAGAAGTAAGAAAATGAATTAAAGTGAAAAAGGGTGACTGTTTGATGAGGAGTAAATCAAGGGATAGGATTGTGTTTCTTCTGTGAGGGGATGAGCGGGTGATGTGGCCAACAGGGATTGGCGTACCAAGGGTGGCGCGGATCGCTGAGATGGAGAGGGGGATCTAGGCCAGGGATTTCGGACCAGGTCAGGAGGTTTTTGGGCCAAATTTTTTGTGCCTTTCACTTGGTGTAAAGCTAACACAACAACAACCCAGTGAGGTCTCATGTGTGGGGTCTGGGTAGGCTAGTGTGTACGCAGGCCTTACTCCGACTTCGGAGGAGTATAGGGGTTGTTTCCGTTAGACCATCAGCACAAGAAAGAAAGAAACAATGTATTAATAGCAGCAAAAGAATCCTAACATATAACACCAGCAACGTAATAACCGAAAAATAGAGAGCAAAGTATTAACACTAAACATCAACAAAGGCACAATATTGCATACGCAAGGGAATAATATGTACATACAAGGCTGCTAAACATACTATAGCCTAACTTTCGATCCTAAAGAAGTATTAAGAACACAACTGAAGCCCCTAGCAGCCTAAAACAAGACACTATCACACTAGCCTCCTATCTCCTAACCTACAACCCTAGTGCTCGACCTCCACAACTTCCTATCAAGGGTCATGTCCTCGGAAATCTGTATCCGCACCATGTCCTGCCTGATCACTTCTCCCCAATATTTCTTAGGCCGCCCTCTCCCTCTCCTCATACCCTTCAAGGCCAGCCGTTCACACCTCCTCACCGGTGCATCCAGGCTTCTCCTCTTCACATGCCCGAACCATCTAAGCCTAGCTTCACGCATCTTGTCTTCCATGGGAGCCACGTATAGCCAATTAAAATTAAAAATAAGCATATCCCATTATGTTTTTAAAACTTAGTTAATTATAATTAATTTAATTAACACAAAACATTATTAATGATCCACGATTATATATACTGGAAAATTTTATAAATAGCGATTAGTCAATTAATTTCGAAATAAAGGTGATTTATGAATATAGCTTCAGAAATTATATTAGTACTATAATTATAAACATACAATTAAAATTAATAGCTATTTTCATTGTTATTATATAAAAATATGTGGTAGTTTTAGAAATAAAATAATATAAATAGTCGGAATATGCTTTATTACATTATTATTGATTAGAAAGCATATTAAATTAATAATAAAAAAAAGAAGGGTCAAAATTGATCCTCAACAATATGTAAGAGCATCTATCAAGTGAATGCATATATCAAGTAAAGCATGTGACACGTATAACATGTAATAGATAGAGGCACAGGACATGTTAGAGCATGTAATAAATAAGACATGAAATAAACTAGTTCTACTGTAACGACTCAATCGGTTGTTTTGTATATTTGAGCCATGTTCCCCTATTTAATGATTCCTCTATGTGTATTTGTTGTTATGTGACTTTTGGGGATGGTTGGTTTCATTTCGAGGAGGTTTTAGATTGAATTGCAACACTTAGTTCCTAGTTTGGAAACTTTAGTTTGAGGTGTTAACCAAGTTTGACTTTTGTGTATTTACCTCGGATCGGAGTTTTAAAAGTTTCGTTAGGTCCGGATAGTGATTTTGAACTAGGCGTATGTCCGAATTCGAATTCAGGGGTTCCTAGATTGTTTTGGCTCTTATTGGCGAGAGTTGGTAATTTGAAGGCTTAAAAGTTCATAGGTTTGAACCATAGTTGACTTTATGGTTATCAATGTGTGTTTGTGATTCCGAACCTTGGAATAGGTTCATATGGTGATTTATGACTTGTTTGTGGAATTTGGGGGTCATTCCGAGTTGTTTAGGCATGTTCGGCATAAGTTTAAAATTTAGAAAATTGAAATAGTTCACAAGCTTGAATTGGTGTATGATTCGTGGGTTTGATATTACTTTTGTGTGATTTGAGGCGTCGAGTAGGTACTTGTTACGTTTTGGAATTGGCTGATGTGATTAGACGGGGTCCCGGAGGTCTCAAGTGTGTTTCGAATGGGTTTCAGACCATTTCCTCTTGTTTTGGATCAGCTGGTTTCTGGTGTTCTGATGTTTATCGCGGTCGCGGATGGGATAATACGATCACGGAAAGTGTTTTGGTGGCACGTGATGTTTTCTCTTCGTGTTCGCGATGAGGTTATCACGTTGGCAAAGAATAAGGGCAGTGGCCTTCGCGTTTGTGACCTGTGCATCGCGTAGGTGTAGAGGAAGGCTGGCTGGGGGTGTCATGAGCTAAGCCCCGATATTCAAACCTTTTACCCAATTGTAGATATCGTAGTTGCCAACTCTTGTTCACAGTTGCAACATTTACAAATGTGAACAGTGTCTGAGCCATAGATGTCGGAAATACGACTAAACCTTTGCATTTGGGAAGAACTAACCCCTTGCAAAACCGAACCAAGCTTCGCAAAAGCGAAGTTGTCCCACCACTCACCAGTGTCACAAATGTGACCCAAGTCTCACAATTGTGATACCATACCACCTCGCAAAAGCAACCTGAACTTCACAAATGTGAAGTTGTCCAGTCCCTTCCAGCTTTGCAAATGCGAAGCTCGCATTTGCGAACAGACACTCGCAAATGCGAGGTCTGCATCGCCAGAAATTCCCAATTATGCCAAAAAGGTGCGAAACTTATTTGAAACTCACCCGTGTCTCCCGGACTCGAATCCGAACATTCACACAAGTGTAATAACAACATATGAACTCTCTTGTAAGTTGAAATCATCAAAATAACATCTAAAATCAAAAATCAAAGAAACAAACTCAAGAACTTCAAAGTTCATACTTTAAATTTCTAACTTTCACATAATGCGCTAACGCGTCCTCGGGTCAAACAAGACCCTAACTAAATATGCGTACAAGTTAAAAATTATCATACGGACCTATCAGAATCGTCAAAACACCGATACGAGGTTGTTTACCATAAATGTTGACTGTGGCCAACTTTAGCCATTTTCAAGTTCAAAAATCAAGTTTCTTTAAAAATTCACATTTAGACTTTCCGGAAATTGATACTGACCATGCATGCAAGTTATAAATCATCAAAGAGCGCTATGAGAGGCCTCAAATCATTAAAAGGGGATCTGAAACTTAAAACGACCTATTGGGCCATTACATATTTATCAAATTTAGCTAGCTTTTACTATTTACAAAAATAGCAACAGTTTTTTTTAAAAAAATATATATTAATTTGATCAACATACATTATATATAACTTGTATACAACTTTTTTATTATATAGAATTCGGTCAAAAGATACAAGTTTCATACAACTTATATTTGTATATAACTTTTTTGTCGTACAGAATCCAGTCAAACACATACAAATTTTTATACAACTTGCATACAATTATGTTAGTTGTATATATTTTATATATTACGACATACAAAATACATACAATTTATTTATGCCTTTCTCTTCGAGTTTCAATCTAAAATTCCAATTAAACCAACTCGAATCTTCACCAAACTCCCTCAAAATTGCGATATAAACTTCAAAGAACATTCTCAATCTTTTGCAGCAATACCCAATCCAAACAAATAACAATTTCGCAATATCCAATTTTTGAATTCAAACTTCGAAGTTTTTAACGGCTATCATTTCAGTAATTCATTTTTCGAGCTGTTCATTGTAAAGGTTGCTGACATTTCATCATTAATATAAAAGCTTTACATTAAGGTCCATTTCTTTCTCCTCCCTTTTACATATACAGTAATGTGATATTAAGCATGATATTGGCTCTTTTGGATTTATCTGAGTATGTTAATGTTAAAGTTCAGTCTCGATGTTTATTTTTCATTAGAGAAGTAGTTTAAATCTTAGGAGTCTATATCAGTAGTTTTCTATTGTTTGGTTCATCTTTAATCATAAAATGAGGAAAGAGAGAAAGGGAGAGAGAAAATGGGGATGATCTGAGCCTAAAATTGGAAAGATTGGATTCTAATATACTACTTTGTATACATTGGTAATTATATATAGAATATTTAATTAAATAAGAACCTCTCTAATAATGGTAATTAAGCTCATAATGTAACATAAATAGGTAAAAATATCTTATAAGAGGAACTGGGATTTGGGCTTGAGGAAGGTCATCTTGGTTTCCTTTAATGCTATCCTCAGTATTTTTTCTTTTTAAATCAAACAAAAGCCTACTACCCAAGCTATAACGGCCTGTGGTTTTTGGGGGTTTAATGGACCCCTACATTGTATATTAATATATAAAATGATTACATGATGGAGGGGGCATAAACCTTAACTCTGTTCGACTTGATGATTGATAAGATCAATCTGAATCCACCAGCTAATACAATCCTAAAGGAGGATTCCTCCTTTTACAATTGCAGCTATTAATTCAAAACAAGGAGACTTTTCCCTTTATAATTATTAATGTATCCTTACCCCTATCTGTTAGAAAATGGATAAAAATATTATGATCCTTGTATAAAATATAGCCCCTATTAATAATATTGAGGCTCTTCAAACGATTGAGTAGTTTCCATTCTTCTTAATTAATCAACCTGCAAGTTTTAAAGAAGACTGTTGAGTCTATGTATAAACAGTATATTGTCAATCATGATCAAAGGTGAAGTGATACATTTTTAGCCTAACTTTGAAATTAGGCATGCTATCTTCATCATTCTGAAATTTGAATGGGTAGCAGGCGCAAGAGCTTTCTCAAGTAGCTGAAACATGTTATATAGCCACAAGATTATATCTACATTACAGAGACTGTTTCACATAGTATTGTATAATACAAGTAGGCTTCAAAATATTTTCAAATGTGTCAAGGATAAAACAACTTTGCGAATAAAAGTTCATTCCAAGTATCTTGAAGCCCAGGCAAACACCAATGTGTACAATCAGCATAGCTAACAGGGTTTGCTAGTTGCTCTGGTGTCAATGGATTCCATTGTTTCTTGTAAATTGATGTGTGCGCATCTTTCCTGTAACTCGATAGCTGCGTTATGTTGAGAAACATTATGGGCACTTCTGATTTACTAAATACTTCTCCAATCACTTGCATTACGCTTTTGCTGCTATCTGATCCCCAGTAACTTGGATCCTCTATCTTTGTAGTTTCATTGTAACAATTCCTATCAGGTTTACCTCCCCAATCTATGCTCCTGCCAGATTGATAAAGCCTTATGTTATACTTAAATCTAAAATTTAAGGAATATATGTAAGTTACTCACTTATGATGAGAAGGTGACATGCTAGTGAAAAATACTCTATTTTTCTTTGGATCCATATTCCTCTTCACCCATCTCAACATACTCTTCATTGCCATGCGATATGCATCCTCTGTGGACACTTCAATCATATCTTTCACATCATCCTTGAAAGACCCTTTTTGCCTGTATCAATTAAACACTGGACATGAATTTAAAAAAATTCAATATCAACCCCTATATGAACACCTAAAAGGTAAAAGCGAGCCCAAGAAATTACAAAATCTTGAATGGCATGCCGGTCATCCACCAAAGATAAGTGTTAAACACAATTATGTCAGCCCCTTTCCAATTTTTACCATGCTTATTTATTGAACCTTTACGGACAATTCTATCAGTAATCCTATGTATGACTGCATCATCGGCATTTGATTCTAGCAGAAATGGTGCCCAGTAATACTCAATTTTTGCATTGTAATCCTGCAAGATTAATTAATCAGATCAATGTATATATATCCACAGAATAAGAATTCATGTACAAGTTCAACATGCTTGTAATTTGTAAACACCTTTGCAGTGAAAACAGTGAGGGAACCAAAAGTTTCCATGGATTTGGCATTCTCGGGAATTATTCTTTGGAGAAGGCAAACCATGGAAACAAATTGTCCTCTGTTCAAGGAATCGCCAACGAATAACATCCTCTTCCCTCTAAGGCTTTCCAGCACTAATGTTGCATTGAAACTGCCATTTGCACAATAATTAAAGATGTCAAGAAATGGCCATTGTTGCCAAAAAATTAATAACGCTCAGCCATCTTTACAATGATTTTATGGAAACAATAGAATATAGCATTTACAAAAGTTTATTAGTAGGGAAAATGTCTAAATTTGGCCTTGTACTTACCAGAATTCAAATTTTTTCCTTCTCTTAAAGTTTTGGTCCATTCATAACCTTGATGTTAGCAAATCATCTCCGGTAAGGGCTTCCGATGTGAAATGGGTGGTGTCTATGAGTCCAAATTATGCGAGAAAAAGAAGTCCAAATTTACTCATCAACTTTTGATTATGGTTTAAATCTACTCTTGTGTTTAAGCTTCTTAATTGCGCGATCAATGACAAAAAAAGAGAACATGTCCTAATGGCGGGGTATTGTATGGGCCAAAATCTGACCACAAGATGGTTGTCCTTAAAGGAACGACAANAAAAGGAGAGGAACAATATATCAAAGAGGGGAACAAGAGGAGGTCATCAACAACAAACCCCAACTTATAATCATCATTATCTAATCAACAAAGATAGATCTCTTAGTTATCAACAACTTTCCCTCTTTTCCCTCTTTGTTCTTACAAGTACGGTGCAGACATGTTAAAGATGTAAGCTTCTTATTTACATTTGATGTATGTCAATCATCTTAAGAAATCGTACATAAACTTGGCCTCCTTCGATTGTGATATTTATTGCGTTTGGATTTATAGTCAATTATGATTGGCTAAGATTTACCTTTCATCATGTATCTCATCATTATTATAATATATATATAAAATTAGAAATTGAAATTTCAAAATAGAAATATTTTTTGAAAGATAAAATCATACCAAATAAGAGTTCAAGTCGTAGTATAACAGTCATGTCGTAATCAAAGAATCGTTTATATCATGTCAGCCGTTGTGCTTTGCCATAAATATGAGTTATTATTTCACTATGTGGCTATTTTTAGGTTCCAATGACATCTATAAGAATAGTGCCAAATAAAACCATCACTACGAGAATTGAGAAAATGTTAGTATTTTTTCATGTAGTGTTTCTTAATTAATATCTGACGATTAGCTATAATTATTTAGAAGGTTTAAATGTTAAGGTTATTTACATATAACTCAAATAACTCAGATATTTAACATGGTTAATGTCAAATATCAAAATGGAGAAAAAAAAATTCACTAGCTAAAGAATTTTTTATATTTTTAGATAGCCAACTAAAATGAGTTTTGAATTAAGAATAATATTTTCAATTACATTATTATAAAAATAATTATTATTGAAAAATAATATTTTAGAAATTGAAATTTTAAGAAAGAAATATTTTTTAAGAGATATCAACACACCAAATAAGAATTCAAGTACTAATAAAAGAGTTAAGTCTTATCCAAAGAGTAATTCATTGTTTCAACACTTGATTGTTTTGCCATAAATATGAGTTATTATTTTGCTTCCTGATTATTTTTAGGATCCAATGACACCGGCAAGAATGGTATCAAAAAAGAAAAATAGATAATATCCAATGATTATCTATATTTACTGAGAAAGTGTAAATTTTAATATTATTTACATACAATCCAAATAACTTAAATATTTGACAAGATTAGTGTCCGCGCGTCCGCGCATCCGCGCGGGTACTAATACTTCTCCAATGAAAGCTAAATTAAGCAAACTGGGACTAACCTAGGAAATGTACAGTATTCTCCAATGAAAGTAAAATTAAGCAAACTGGGACTCGCCCAGGGAACACCCAGTATTCTCCAGTAAAAACAAAGCCGAGCACACAGGGGCTCGCCCTGACGCATGCATAAACAGTATGGCGATGTGTAATGCTCCAAAAAAAATAATACATAATAATAATGATACAACGGGTTACTATTTCGACCTTGCTCGAAATAACATCCCTACGGCCAACGACCATCGCCAAAAGAAAGGTTAGACCTCGCTCGAATTACAACGGGTTACTATTTTGACCTTGCTTGAAATAACACCCCTACGGCCAACGGCCATCGCCAAAAGAGAGGTTCAACCTCGCTCGAATTACAACGGGTTAATATTTTGACTTTGCTCGAAATAACACCCCTACGGCCAACGGCCATCGCCAAAAGAAAGGTTCAACCTCTCTCGAATTACAACGGGTTACTATTTTGACCTTGCTCGAAATAACACCCCTATGGCCAACGGCCATCGCCAAAAGAGAGGTTCGACCTCACTCGAATTACAACAGGTTACTATTTCAACCTTGCTCGAAATAACACCCCTACGGCTAACGGCCATTCCCAAAAGAGAGATTCGATCCCGCTGGAATTACAACGGGTTACTATTTCGATCTTACTCGAAATAACACCCCCACGGCATACGACAATCGCGAAAAGAAAGGTTCGACCTCGCTCGAATTACAACGGGTTACTATTTCGACCTTGCTCGAAATAACACCCCTAAGGCCAACGGCCATCGCTAAAAGAAAAGGTCCGTACTCGTTCCAATTTAAGTCAAAAATTGACTTCGCCCAAAACGGCGACTCCAAGTTCGAACTCGTTCAAATTTAAGTCAGAAATTGACTTCGCCCAAAATGGTGACTCCAAGTTTGAACTCGTTAAAATTTAAGTCAGAAATCGACTTCGCCTAAAACGGAGACCCCAAGTTGTAACTTATCCAAACATAAGTTAGAGCTTGACCTCGCCCAAGGTGGCGAATCTCAATTTGACCCCTTCTCGCCTGAACTAACGAGCATGAAGTTAATCTCGCGCGAACTGGTAAAACCCAAAATGACTTCATTCGGACTCATACGACAGAATCCTACCCGATCAGCACAAGGTCGTTTCCCAGTTAAAAGGATCAGGGACTCCTCACAAAGAAATTTGAAGGCCTACGCCAAAAAGAGAAATATAACAAACGGGAGGGACAAAAAAAAATCAAATGGTACGCAAACAAAGGCGAAGCAATTGTTTTATTTAAATACACGTGCGCAACAGCCGCACCTTACAAAAGGCCGAAACAACCCCCCCACC